GCTGCCCTGGGTTGGATCCTCATCATCCAGCATCCCATATTATCCCCAAGCACTTTCCAGAGTGATTCCTGAGCACAGAGCTGGGAATAAGCCCTGAGCATCGCTGGGTGTGGCCCCCAAACAGATAACAACAAAAAGAATCAAGTTTAGGTGGGATGATTAGATGGGGGAAAACAACAGATCAGGGAAACACACAGAAACCTCGACCCAAAGAACACAAACACTGACAGGAAGAAGGAAGATCTCTTGCTCTCTGCCCTCCTCACCTACACCCAGGCAGGGCTCCTACTCCCAGACATGGGGCAGTGACAAGGTACAGAGCACAGGAGTCTCAGCCACATGCTCTCGCCATGGCCAGACTAAGGAAAATCAAAGTGCCAGGAAGTACTTGGGGTACAGTCCTAGAGAGGCCCAGTTACGGAGCAGTGAGGCCCAGCAAGGAGACGTAGGTGACAGGGGTCCCTAAACTAGACAGATTCTGGATCAGGAATGCTGAAGGCGAGACCAGTGTAGGAACAAGACCAGATCACTGGAGGTGACAAGGAGGACATAGGACATGGTAGTCCAAACGAGAGAGAGAGAGAGAGAGAGAGAGAGAGAGAGAGAGAGAGAGAGAGAAAGGCACGGGACATTGTACACAGGGGACCAGACTCATGTGTTTGAACTGCAGACTCATGTGTTTGAACTTATCTGAAGTTTTTTGTGTATGGGGGAGGGGGGAGGGATTGTTTGTTTGTTTTTATTTTTAGGCCACACCTGGTGATGCTCAAGGCTCAGGGCTTGGGGGCTATTCCTGGCTCTGCACTCAGGATCACTCCTGGCAGTGTTCTGGGGACCATATAAGACACCGGGGATTGAAGTCAGGTTAGCCATGTGTGGGTCAAATGCCTTGCTCACTGTCTTCAATCTCCAACCCAGCACCTGAGTTTCATATGCAAATATTTTATATGATTCTCAAGATCTCACAAGCATAGAAAAAATTCACTTTCGCACTAATAGCAGGAAGTCCCCCCAACCCCTAGCCATTTTGCTGACACCTCATAACTAGTGACTGGAACTTAAGGGAGGGCAACTTCAGTGCAGTAGGGAGAAACTTATAAGTGATGCACCCCCCCATGGCACAGGGAGAATTCAGTGTTGGGGTGTCTTGTGGGAGACATTGGACAGACCATGACACTAGTTCCTGGGGGTCAGCTTTGCACTGTGTGTGGACATGATGGGAGCAGTTTTTATGTTGGTTCCAATTCTAATGGTGAATCCTTGAAGCACAAAGAAACAGGTTAGGTCCAACTGATGTAGCTTTGCCTGCCTGGCACTTGAGGCCCTGAGTTCAACCCCAGGCACTGCAAAATGCATACACAGATGCTGCGACGCACATATTTGTAGTTGAATATTAACTGAACCTGGATCCAAATTGAGTCGTTTGTTCTAAATGGAGTCATTAGTAGATTAAGAATCACATGGACTCGGCCCGGAGGTTGCTCTAAGGACCTACCCGGAAGTAGGATCTTAATGTGGAGATTTTTAGATGTTGTATATGAGCGGAAATGACACCAAATATCTTAGGAATCCCACAGCACAGTAACTGCTAAACTTTGTCTCCTGACTCAACAATTATCTCAGTGGGAGGCAAACAAGCAGGGTCATTTCTTTTCTTTAATCTGCTTTTGTTTGTTTGGTTTGGGGGCCACACCCAGAGCGGGGGCTACTCCCAACTAGGTCCAGGGTGGTGCCGGGTGGTGCTGGGACAATCAGTGCCAGGGCCTCCTGTGGGCAGCGCATTTGTTCCAGCCTGTTTCTTGAAACAGGTTCTTTCTTTCTTTCTTTCTTTCTTTCTTTCTTTCTTTCTTATTGGATCACCATGAGATACAGTTACAAGCTTTCATGGTTCTGTTTGATGGCACACCCATCCCTCCACCAATGCACATTTTCTATCACCATTGTTCCCAGTGCCCCTCCTGCCACTCCCACCCACATCCCACCCCCTGCCTCTGTGGCAGGCACATTCCTTCTTACTCTCTCTCTCTAATTTTGGGCGTTGTGATTTGGAATACAGATATTAAGAGGCCATCACGTTTGGTCCTTAGTCTACTTTCAGCACACATCTCCTGTTCAGAACGATCCCTCCAATCATCATTGACTTAGTGGTCCCTTCTCCATCCCAACTGTCTTTTCCCCCAGCATGTGAGGCCAGCTTCCAAACCATGGAGCGAGCCTCTCAGCCCTTGTCTCTACTATTCTTAGCTGTTAGTCTCCTACTGCTACTTTATATTCCACAAATGATTGCAGTCATGCTATGTCTGTCCCTCTCTTTCTGACTAATTTCACTTAGCATGATACTCCCCATGTCCATCCACTAATGAGCAAATTTTGTTATTTCATCTTTCCTAAAAGCTGCATAATATTCCATTGTATAGATGTACCACGGTTTCTTTAACCAGTGATCTATTCTCGGGCACTTGGGTTTTTTTCCAGATTCTGGCCACTATGAACAGAGCTGCAATAAACATACAAGTGGAGATGTCATTTCTACTGTGGTTTTTTTTTTTTTGCATCTCTGAGATATATTTCCAGAAGTAGTATTGCTGGGTCAGATGGGAGCTCAATTTCTAGTTCATATATGAATGTCCATACTGTTTTCCAAAAAAGCTGAATCAGTAGGCATTCCCACCAACAATGAATGAGAGATCCTTTATGCCCACATCTGTGCCAGCACTGGTTGTTTTTGTTCTTATTGGTGTGTGCCAGTGTCTGTGCAGTAAGATGATACCGCAGAGTTGTTTTGATTTGCATCTCCCTAATGATTATCGATGTAGAGCATTTTTTTTTCATGTGCCTTTTGGTCATTTGAATTTCTTTTTTGAGGACGTTTTGGAACAGCCTCTTCTGACAAGAATCTGCGCCTTTTGGGGCAGGGGAGTGGGACCCCACTTGGCAGTGCTCAGAGTTTACTCTGACAGTGCTGAAGGGAACATACATAATGGTGGGGATCATACTAGGGTCAGCCGAATGCAAAGATGCACCTTAACTATCTCTCCAGCTCCAAATCTGCCATTTTTTTGGGTGGGGGTGTGTGGTACGGGGCATATCTAGTGGTGCACAGGGGTTACTCCTGGCTTTGCACTCAGGAATTACTCCTGGAGGTGCTTGGAGGGATGATATGGGCTGCTGGGGATGGAACCTGAGTCGGCGACATGCAAGGCAAGCATTTCCCCGTATTATGGTGCCAGCCCTCAAATCTGCCATGTGAACCTACTCTTAGGGACTGGCCTGGTTCCCCCTTGCGTGTCCAGGTTGTGGGGATGATGAGAAATGATGTGTCCGGCTTTTCAGTGACTTTGAGTTCAAATGTCTGCAGTGAAGGTGGGGGCTGTCCTTTGTTTCATAGTGTAGTTTTTTGTTTTAGCCTTTGCCTCCCAGAGTGCTCAGGGGGACCCAGGACTGGTGCCAACAGTACTTTGTCAGATGTGCAGGCTTGATGGTTCAATGCTTGGGCCCAGACTCACAGATTTGGTGCTGCTCAGGCCAAGTAGGCCTGTGGGTCACCAGAGTCACACTAGGCTGTGCTCCCAGGCTCAGGGTGCAGTGCAGGCAGAATTTGGGGTCCTACATGGGTGTACACTCTATCCTTTAGGCACTATCTTAAGGCCCTTTGATTATTTGAGGGACGGAGGTTGTGCTACATCCAGCAATGCTCTCAGGGGTCACTTCTGGCTATGCTGGTGCACCGTGCCAGTGCCAAAGACTGAACCAGGGTCATCCACATGCAGGGCAAGTACCTTCCTACCTGTACTATGCCTCTATCCCTAAATGTTTTGTAAAGATTTTATGAGCAAAAATTGAAGACTTTGTAATCTTTTGTTCCCCATCTGATAGTGGTATATTAAATTTAAAAAAAAGACTTCTTTACTGTTCCCATAAAGTTTCTCATTTGTGGGGCCAGAGCAATAGTATAGAGGGTAGAACCCTTGCCCCTGGGTGTGGTCAACCTGGCTTTAACCCTGGCATCCCATCCAGTCCCACAAACACTGCCAGGAGTAATTCCTGAGTGCAGAGTCAGGAGTAAGCCCTGAACATTGCCCATGTAGCCCTAAAATAACAACAACAACAAAAAAACTTTAAAAAAAAACTAATTTATTTGCCAAAGTTTGCATCTGTTAACAGTAAGTAAATATTGGTGATAGTCTCATGGAGCGATAGCACAGCGGTAGGGCAGTAGGGCGTTTGCCTTGCACGCAGCCAACATGACCGACCCGAGTTCGATTCCTCTGCCCCTCTCGGAGAGCCCGGCAAGCTACCAAGAGTATCTCGCCTGCACGGCAGAGCCTAGCAAGCTACCCGTGAGGTACTCGATATGCCAACCACAGTAACAATAAGTCTCATGATGGAGATGTTACTGGGCCCGCTCGAGCAAATTGATGAACAATGGGAGGACCGTGACCATGACCGTGACCAGTCTCATGTTTTAGCAGCAATCCCCATATAGCATTCACTCAGGTGGAGTTGGAATGTACCCTAAGAAAACATGAAATAGCATCCCATTTATGATTTAAATTTATGATTTAAATGACAAGGGTCCATTTAGCATCAGAATCCCAGAGGGAATGAGACTGAGTTCCCACATCATCCACATGAGATTGGAGAGAGAAATCCGTTATCTCTCTGGCTTGTGAAGCCTGGGTGCTGATGGAGCCCTCAGAGGGAACCTGAAGGCAGCATTTGCTTGAGGCCAACGGGTAGCATCGGATCTATAACCCAGTCCATTCTTTTTTTTTTAAATTCAGAATGTTAATTTTGTTATGTTTTTTAAATTATTTTTTAATCACCATGACAGACAGTGACTAGCTTTCCTGATTTTCAGTCACACAATGATCCATCACCCAACCCTCCACCAGTGCACATTCTCCACCACCAAGGTCCCCCCAAATCCAGTCCATTCTTTACCCAGTCCTAGGGACGCACAAAAATCCTTTCACAGCAAAGCAGAACCAGAGGCACAATAATCTCAGTAACTTTTATTAACATTCACATATTTAAGACGGCAGCAAACAGGTCAGGCTGCACAGACGAACTTTCTTAGTATCAGGCAGCACATCTCCCAATGCCCAGAGTTTCAGGTGCAGCAGTTGCACTTGTCTTTGGCGTCTTTGCACACACAGCCCTGGGCACACTTGGCACAGCCCTTGGGGCAGCAGGAGCAGCAGCCTGGGGAGGAAAGAACAGAAACACGTCAGCGCCGACCCCACTGGGCACCCCTTCCCACAGCACCATGCACACACCCTCTGTGTCCCGTGAGGTGAGAGGGGTCATGTGTCAGAGCCCCCAGGGGAAGACCAAAGGACACTGAGCCTGCAGCAGGACAGAGCCAGGAGCAGTCTCGGAGCGCCTCCAGCTGCTGGGCACGGTGCCCCCCGCACCCCGCCCCGCGCCCCCCTTCCCGAGCCGCACTCACTCTTCTCGCTGGAGCTGCATTTGCAGTCTTTGCCCTTGCAGGGACCGGTGCAGGCGCAGGAGCCGCCTACAAGGAGAGAGGCGAGAGCCACAGTTAGCTACGGAAGGGCAGTCTGAAGCTCCCCCGCAACTGACCTGCTGGGGTATGTCCTCTGGTTGCCCGCTCGGAAGGAAACCAGTTCCAGACCCAGCCCAGGCCGATCTTCGGTTCTGACCTCTAATCTAATACGCATCATCCCCCCTCTCATCCGTGCTGCAGCTCAGCGTGCGGCACAGCTCTGCCTGGCAACTCTGCCCATCCTTTCCTCACACTCCTCTTGTCTGAAAGAGAAGCGCTCGGGGAAGGAAACTCTTTCGGGAGCCAGGGCCATGAAGAGCGCCTGCAGGAGGGAAACGAGCCACTTCACTTGCATCTCAAGAAAAAAAAAAAAAAAACTCTGTCCACGCCCGGCTCCCTCTGCGCCCTGGGGAAGGGACATCCTCGGTCCCAGAGAGGGCGCGGCTTACCGGTGCAGCAGGAGCTCTTGGGGTCCATTTCGCAGTGACGCGAAGATCGAGATGCAAAGGAACAGATGATGCTGATGATGCTCTGGGCTTTGGAAAGAGTAGTGCCACCTGAGGCTCTCCGACTCACTTTTATAGGGGAGGAGGCAGCCGGGTGCAAAGTCCCGCCCCGCCCTGTGCACGCTCCACCCTGGCGGAGCTGACACGGGGCGGCGCCGGGCTCACAGGGCGGGGTCGGGTGCGCGCCGCTGGGCCGGGCGCAGCGGGCGGGCCCCGTCTCCCTGTGCGCGTTTTGACGCGCCGCTATCTTGGGTCAGTTGCCTAAGAACCCCGCGCAGTTACTCCCTTGATGCCGCCCGCGGCCCCGGCTGTGGGTCATGGGACATCTTGTCACTATTTCCAGGCACTACTTTCCCAATAGTCCAGATGAACACCCACCCTGTTCCTTCTTCCAGGAACACAGTTCCTATGCTCCCGGCTCTTCTGCCCAGACCCGACCCTGGGGCCTCTGGGTCTCCGTTTCCTGAAACCATGTACCACCCCTTAAAGAACATTTGGTAACAGTCCTCTGGCCAAGGAGTATGTGTAGAGGGCCTGTCTTCCATGTGACTTCATGTCTTTTCCTGCAGGAGACATTTCAGACCCTCCTCCTGACAATCCTCTAATCTCTCCTCTTGCAAGGAGTTGGACTTCCTAAGCTGAGGGCTTTGTGGACAGTTTGCCCTGTGCTCCTTGTTCTTATTCTTCAGGACTCCTCACAAACTAGCCAATCTACTCCCCCCCCCCCCCCACTTCAGGATAGAGGTTCCCAGCATGAGAATCCCTTCTCCACCCTCAATCCTATGACCCTGATACCCCATTCCCCACCACACAGAGAGAGAGAGAGAGAGAGAGAGAGAGAGAGAGAGAGAGAGAGAGAGAGTTCATGAAAGAGCAATGGGAGAAAAGTGTTTATTTCTTCGAAATCACTGACAATCACACAGGATTTTCTCTGTGCCAAACGTCATGAAACACCGGCCCCCATCTGCCATAATGGCACCCTAGTGGGTAGTACAGTGCTACCTCCCCAAGTAAATCCCTACTCTTCCAAAGAACTGTAACTCCTTGGGAACTTGCCCAAGTACCACTCTTGGCCAGAGCTGCTCCTGGGTAGGTTCCATCCCTTCCTAAACAATGGTAGGTCCAGGATGAAGCAGACCTTGGCCCTGGTGTGACATCTGCCTTCTCTGTTGCCTTCTCCCTGGGAGGAACATGGTGACACAGAAGGACTCTATGTAGAACTTTGGGCAGGTTTATCTGAGAGTAAAATAATTGGCATTCCCAGATATGATTCAGAGTTTGCTTTGATTCTTCAATAACTATTTAGAAAATAGGGTTTGTTGGCAGGAACACGTAGTAAATCCTGGGCACAAGTCACAGAGCCTATGTTTTCAACCTTGAACTGTTCCTGGGAAGAGAGCAACTCCCTCGAGGCAGCAGGTCACATACAGGCCGGGTGGATGAGGGCTACACGGGTCAGTAGTTGAACAGTCCCTGGCAGGACAATCTCCAGAAGCAGATACTATGTTGTTAACGTGACTGATACCAACACAAGAGTAGCTATTGACTTTTCACACTGTGGGCCTGGCATCAACCGGAATTTTTGAAAAATCAGGTTAAATGTCCTAAGATAGAGGAGGCATTTGCTTCCTTTGCAGTGTGGAGAGGGACCACAGAGCGACACAGGGGGGTTGACTGCAGTATCCCAGCCACCCCCCTCACCTCGCCTTCCATGGGAGGTGAGGCTCTTGGGTCCTGCACAGGGCAGCAGCTAGAGGGCCCTGGACAGGCACTCAGCGACCCCTGCAGTCTTGTGTGTTCAAAGACTTCAGTTTCCATCCATCAAACCTGACAGTGGTGCAGGACTCTTTATTGTGCCACCCAGTGAGAACAATGGATCTAGAAAAATCAGGAGCAGCCCCTGCGACTACGGAGGAGCAGTAGAGGGAGGTTTCTGATCCCTCCTTGTGAGCCCTGTGACCTTCCATAGGTCCTGTCGCCTCTCTGAGTCTGCACATTCCCCACAGTCTCTGCACTGCCTGCCACACCGCTACACTACACGTGTAGTTAAAGAGACAAGAACACTGCTCTCAGGAGCAGGGGTATTCCTCAGAGGCACTGAGCAACCCCCCACAGGTCCTGTGGGGGTGTCAGGACAGTGCCATCCTAGCTGTGCAGTTCATGACTCGGTTCTCTGTTCTGCACTGTTTCAGATTCGCAGGCACAGCCTTGATGAACAAAGGGGTCATTTGTAATGTTCACTGGTAATGGATTCATTTGCTTTTAGGTTCCTTACAGGGTCAAACAGAGGGTGAGACAATGGCCACTCAATGCCTCTAGTGCAAACTACAACACCCAAAGGAAAGAGAGAACAAAAGGAAATGCCCTGCCACAGAGGTGAGGTGGGGTGGGGGTGGGTATGAGGTGGGGGTGGTGGGAGGGATATTGGGATCATTGGTGGTAGAGAATGGGCTCTGGTGGAGGGATGGGTACTAGATCATTGTATGACTGAAACGCAAGCACGAAAGTTTGTAAGTCTGTAACTGTAACCCACAGTGATTCACTAATTAAAAAAATTTTTTAAATAAATAAAAAATTAAAAAACAAGAGAAACAAAAAATGAAAGAGAGTAACATCAAAATTTAAAAACAAACCAAACAAAAAAAACCAGAGGGTAAGAGCCTAGAGACTCCCTGAACCTGGAAACTGCAGTTAGATTGCTCTGAACAAAATGCTCCCAAGGTGGGTTCTGATGTGGATATTCTATAGTATGTAGAACTGAGGGGTGGTAACACCCAATGTGGAGGAGTTGGACAGCATGAAAACTGCCCAGTAGTCTCTGCTGACCCAGAAACATACACAGAATTGACGATACTCTCATTTATTTTAATCTCTCTAGAACTGAACTCTTCCTGTGGATGGAGGTCAGGAAGTCATGGGCTGGTTTCATTTTGCACAGCAAATAGATTCTGGCAATGATGTCCCATGGGTGTGGTTCAGCCTGACCCAGACCCTACGTGTCTGCCTCTGCTCACATCTGTATGTGAAGGTGTTTGTGTGGGGGAGGGGCGGGAGGGTGATAGGGGTTGGGAGGGGGGTTCAAAAACCTGTTAGAACAGGTAGGTCTTCATAAGCTTTCTCAAAAATAATCTAGTTCCTCATTTTTTTCTTTCTAGCCTCCTTCTCTACATCATTTTCTCCTTCCCTCCCTCCAATGCCGTTCCCTCCTCCCTCCCTCCAATCCTTCATTCCTTTCTGATTATTGGATGACAATATTCTGTGTTGTGTGCTTCGGATGCATGTTTTTGGATAGTGTTTGTGTGTAGGAAAAAGGGGGGAAAAGAAACCGTGTCACAAAATGAAGGGTTGACCTGACCAAGCTCCTAAGAATCTTTGTGTGGGGAAGTGGGTGAAGGGAAAGTTCAACCAATAGACACGGGCCCTCCCTATCCACATGCTTAGGAACTGAATCACTGGATTGTTTTTTAGAAATAAAATTATAAGTAATGTTTTGTTTGTTGGGGGTTCTACCTGGCAGTGCTTAGAGAAAACTCCAGGCTCAGTACTCTGTGTTCATTCCCCAGCACTGCTCCTAGATCATGGCTGCTATGCTCAAAACCTGAGACTCTGCCTACAAAGCAGTATCTTTGCTATGCTATCCTGTCAGCTGCAGTACCTCGGCCACCCCTTGTGCCTCACAACTATTACCCAGGACCAATATTAAAAGCTAAATTGTTTTTTCCTATGTCGGTTTTCCTCTTCATTTGACATTGTCATTGATTGCAAACATGAATCCTATAGTATGCCCTAGAATAAATTTCCATCACCATAGTTTCACCATAGATACCACTGGGCTACGCTAGCACGCAACCGGGATGAATGGAAACGTTACTGGCACACGCTCAAATAAATCGATGAATAACGGGGATTAAGTGATTAAGTGATTAAGTGATAGTTTCACCAAATCTCACACGTGTGAGTTAAGAAAATCAGGTCATGTGAGGGTACGGTGTTGCAAGCAGGTCAATTTGTACCTGTGAGGCGAGTGCATCAGCAGCCTGATGGCTCCTTCACACTTCCAGATACCCCAAAATTGCTGCTGTACCTTTGGCCAGACCCCAAAAACTTGAGGCAAAGTTTACCAAAGAAAGCAAACGGCCAAAAGTTAGGTGTGTGGGAGACACATCCACAAACAACACCGGCTCAGCTATATAATTGGAGGCATGGCCTTTCTGGTTCCTGATAGAACTGCTTAACAGGTATGATCCCAGAGACTCAGAAACAAATCTCGAAACCCAACAGCTTTTGGCAGAAATGCGTTCAGTCCCTGCAGTAGGTTACAGGCGCTGGGCCACCCCAGGTGGAAATAGGTTTCACACCTTGGCCTGTTACCCCTGGCGGTCCAGTGGCCGTCATCCTCCAGAGGCCACTGGACAGTCAGGTTTGTGCCCGCAGTGACGAGACATGTGGAGCCTCATGGGATGGGGGGGAGCCAGCCCTTTCTTCCCCTTCCCAACGAGACCCCAAGTCGCCGTCCATGAATGATCTCTCTGGCTCCTGATCAAGCTGCTTAACAGCCATGATCCCAGAGACTCAGAAACAAATCTAGGAACCCAGAGGTTTTTAGCATAAATGCATCCGGATCCTGCAGTAGGTTACTGTCGCCGGGCCACTCCAGGGGGGAAGGGTGCTGTCCCTCCACCTGTTCCCCCTAGGCGACTCGGTGGCCGCCATCTGCCAGAGGCCATTGGACAGTCAGGTTTGGGTCCTCAGTGACAAGACACATGGGACCTCACGGGATGGGAGTGGTGCCAGCCCTTTCCACCCCATCCCAACAAGACCCCCAGTTGCCGCCCACAAAAGGCCTCTCTGACTCCTGATCAAGAAGCTGTTTAATGGCCATGATCCCAGAAACTCAGAAACAAATCTTGAAACTTAGAGGCTTTTGGCAGAAATGCTTCTGGTCCCTGCAGTAGGTTACCGGCGCCGGGCCACCCCAGGTGGGAATAGGTTTCATGCCTTGACCTGTTCCCCCTGGCGGCCCAGTGGCCGTCATCCTCCAGAGGCCACTGGACAATCAGGTTTGGCCCACAGTGACAAGACACGCGGGGCCTCACAGGATGGGGTGGAGCCGGCCCTTTCCTCCCGATCCCAACAAGACCCCAAGTCGCTGCCCATGAATGGCCTCTCTGGCTCCTGATCAAACTGCCTAACAGCCATAATATGATCCCAAAGACTCAGAAACAAATCTTGAAATCCAGAAGCTTTTTGCAAAATGCGTCTGGACCCGGCAGTAGGTTACTGTCCCCGGGCCACCCCAGGGGGGAAAGGGTGCTGTCTCTCCACCTGTTCCCCCTAGGCGACTCTGTGGCCACCATCTGCCGGAGGCCATTGGACAGACAGGTTCAGGCCTGCAGTGACGAGACACACGGGGCCTCACGGGATGGGGTGGAGCCGGCCCTTTACTCCCCACCCCAATGAGACCCCAAGTCGCTGCCCACGAATGGCCTCTCTGGCTCCTGATCAAACTGCTTAATGCCCATGATCCAAGAGACTCTGAAACAAATCTTGAAACCCAGTGACTTTTGTCAGAGATGCGTCTGGACCCCACAGTAGATTACTGTCGCCAGGACACCCCAGGGGGGAAAGGGTGTTGTCTCTCTGCCTGCTCCCCCTAGGCAGCTCGGTGGCCGCCATCCTCCAGAGGTCACTGGACAGTCAGGTTTGGGCCCACAGTGATGAGACACATGGGGTCTCACGAGATGGGGGTAGAGCCAGCTCTTTCCTCCCCGTACCAATGAGACCCTGAGTCGCCGCCTCTCTAGCTCCTGATCAAGCTGTTTAATGGCCACGATCCCAGAGACTCAGAAACAAATCTCAAAACCCAGCAGGTTTTGGGAGAAATCCCTTCAGATTTAAGTGTTAAAATTTCACATGGCCACTACTGCAGCTACGCAACATCTTATGTTGTTCTTAACCAGCAATAGAAAACAAATGGTCTACTGTTGTTTTTTCAGCAGATCTGAGTGTTGGGGTAAAATCCCAAATAATAATGGTGGGTTTGATGTCAAAATATTGAATGTGATCAAAGTAGAGAGAGAATAATGTGGAAATCATCTGCCCCATAGACAGGGGGAAGGTGAGGGATGGGGGTATACTGGGGTTTTTGGTGGTGGAGAATGGGCACTGGTGAAGGTACGGGTGTTTCATTGTATGACCGAGACTTAAACCCGAAAGCTTTGTAACCGCTCTCAAGGTGATTCAATACATAAAATTATAAAAAAATGAAAAAAAAGTAAGGTGGAGTTCATGCCCAATTCAATCAGCTAATCAGTGGCTGAGTAAATAGCAGTACTCCTATATTAAAAAAAAAAAAAAAGAAAGATGGGGCTGGAGCAATAGCACAGCGGGTAGGGCGTTTGCCTTGCACGCAGAGGACCTAGGTTCGATTCCCAGCATTCCATATGGTCCCCCGAGCACCGCCAGGAGTAATTCCTGAGTGCATGAACCAGGAGTAATTCCTGTGCATGGCCGGGTGTGACCCCCCCCCCAAAAAAAAGGAAAGAAAGAAAGAAAATCAGGTCATTCTCCAACATTTTAGAGACAAATCTGCGTAGGAGTGAACATGTAGACCCAGACTTCATCCCCACTAACAAGTATGAGGACCAACATCCCTCAAGATCCTTATTGGCCCAAGGACATCCCAAAGATCACTGTCACTGTCCTCCCATTGTTCATCGATTTGCTCGAGCGGGCCCAGTAACGTCTTCATTGTGACAATTGTTACTGTGTTTGGCATATCAAATACATTTGCTGTTCGGGCGAGATACTCTTGGTAGCTTGCCGGGCTCTCTGAGAGGGGCGGCAGAATCGAACTTGGGTCAGCCATGTTGGCCACTTGCAAGGCAAATGCCCTACCCGCTGTGCTATCGCTCCAGCCCATCCTGAAGATAGTTTCAATTTAATTGATCATCTGAGCTCAGAGCTCACTGTGTCCCCGAGGTCCCTTTGCTAAGAGCCAACATGTATTCAGACCCCAAATTTGCCCTTCCAGAGCACTCCTCACCCACCCTGAGGGCATTGCTCCTAGTCCTGGCACAGACCAGACCCTGAACCACAATCCATTCAAAGACTTTTATTGTCATTCACATAGTTCATAGTAAAAAGAGGGAAACTGGGGGGGCGGCACACAGGAGTGTTCTATTACATTGGGGACCCTTCCCGGCCCCCATCTCAGGCGCAGCAGTTGCACTTGTCCGACGACGCCCCTTTGCACACACAGCCCTGGGCACACTTGGCACAGCCCGCGGGGCAGCAGGAGCAGCAGCCTGGGGACGAGAGGACAGAGGAACGTCTGCGCGGACCCCACCGGACACTCCTTCCCACAGAGCCACGCATGCGCCACCGAGAACCCCCTCCCCCTTCCCGCACCCTGCCCCGTGCCCCCTCTCTGGGAACCAAACTCACTCTTCTTGCAGGAGCCGCATTTGCAGTCTTTGCACTTGCAGGAGTCCGCGCAGGTGCAGGCGCCGCCTGGAAGAGAGAGGGAACCGGCTGAGGGTCACCCCTTCTGTCCCCGCGACCCGACCCGCACACCCCATCTGCAGCCTCACCGCCCTCGTGGGACGGGGGGCACCCGGGAAGGAGAGGCTCTGCGCGTCGCTGGAGAGCCAGCTCAGGGTCCGCCCGAGCCAGGTTCCAGGTGCGCTTGGGGAAGGGGCATCCGGGAGCCAGAGAAGGGGTAGCTTACCAGCGCAGCCAGAGCAGTTGGGGTCCATGTGGCAGAGAGGTGCGGACTGCGGGCAGACGGATGAAGACGAGCAGCAGCTGTCTGTGGAGCTTTGGAGCGAGCCCGGCCCGGGCTCTTTTCTAGGCAGGAGGCGGGCCGTGCGCAAAGCCCCGCCCCTGCCCGCCCGCGCGTCCCGCTGTCCGGGACAACCCGGTCGGCGCCGGGCGGAGAGCACCGGGTGGGAGCGGGCGCAGAGCTCTGCTGCGTGCCCGGAGCCAGCGCCACCACCTGCGTCACGTCGGGAGCGAGGTGCTGAGCGCACAAGGGACAGCCGGACATACCAGGCGGGGCCTGGCGCGCTGTGAGGGTTCGAGCGCAGAGGGCGGACCCCTGAACAGCGCGAGGGTCTGATGCGCTAAGCGGGACCCGCTTTCCGCACAGACTGGGTGCACAGCCCGGTGCTGAATGCTTAGAGGCGGGGCCCAGCGCACACTGCAGGGCTGATGTGTACACACCGTTTGGCGCCCAGTTCTGAGCGCAGCTGCTCCTTCGTACCTCTCTAGACTCTCCCCAACCCCTGCGCTAACTCTCTGGACACACAGCATGTTCTGGGATGGCTTCCTGTGTGTGCCCAGGTGAGACAGCGTGTCGTGGGGGGGGGGGGGGGGGGGGGGGCGGGGGGGGGGATTTGGGGGGAACCTGTTCCCAGACCTCATCTCTCCCTCCGATCTGAGTCAGCAGATCCCACCGGAGCAGTTTTCAAACTTTCAGAGCCTTTTCCACGAAGTTTTGGGATCAAAGAATTTTTTCAGTAAATGTCAGTGTTAAGAAAAAAAAAAAAAAAGACACGTCTCCATTGCCCTCATGCGCCGCCCCCCACGCCACCCCCGCAGGATTTGCTTTTTTTAGAAAACTCTTTTAAGGTTTAATGAAATCTATAATTTTCTGACAACTGGTTATTTTTTTATACATTCCCAGTTTTTATGAACAGCAATTTGCGTGGTTCCCCGCCACCACACACACCCCAACAGTGTCAGCTTCCCCTACCAGATTCCAAGGGCCCCTCCCATTCCTTCATCTTCAGGTTGTCTCAGTTCTGGAGATGAACTTTCCGGTTCTGATGCTTTGACCGTTTTAGATGGAGCAGGGGTAGGGGTGGGTTGGGAGGGGTGTCGTATCTGGCAAGGCTCAGGGCCTACTCCTAACTAGATGCTCAGAAATCATTTCTGGCAAGCTCAGGGGACCACACAGGATATCAGATGCTGAGGGCCTTGTCTGGACATGTAAGGCAAGTGCTCTACCCCCTGTACTATCACTGACCTTGCCTTCTGTCATTTCCTTGCTGTACTTCCTGTACCTTCCATATGAGATAAAGACTTTTTTGATTGTGGAGGTGGTGGCAGCTACACACATAGAGATGAATCAATATAAACTCCTGAAATTCCATAAAATTGTAAATCAGCGAAAAATTGACAGTTTTTCCGAAATATATGTACACAAGAAACAAATAATATGAATAATCCTATACTGATATATTTACAATTTACATGACACAAATACTACAGATATATAATTTAGCAAGGGCTGGAGCGATAGCACGGCGGTAGGGCGTTTGCCTTGCACGCAGCTAACATGGCCGACCCGAGTTTGATTTCTACGCCCCTCTCGGAGAGCCCGGCAAGCTACTGAGAGTATCTTGCCCGCATGGCAAAGCCTGGCAAGCTACCCATGACAAAGCAAATATGCCAAAAACAGTATCAATAAGTCTCACAATTTGTTGTGAGACGTTACTGGTACCTGCTCGAGCAAATCGATGAACAACAGGAGGACAGTGACAGTGACAGAATAGAGAATTGAAAACATTTCAAGGAAAATGTAAATAAGTATCAGGATAAAAGATTATTTTAGGGGCTAGAGAAATAGTCCAGTGGCTAAGGTGCTTGCCTTGCATGTGACTGACCCAGGTTCAATCCCCCACATCCCATTAGGGCTGGTTTCACTTTGCCAGGAGCTCTGAGCACTGCCAGCTGTGGTACAGAAACAAAACAAAAAAAGGTTTGTTTCATCTTTTAGCACATCCTCTGAGCTAGAGAGCTTATGTGTCTTCCCACATTGAGGTGTGTGACTAAGTACCCTAGGCGCTGGGGCTGGCTGACACTGAATCCATGTCGTCCAGCCACATCGGATATTTCCAATCACAGGACAGTACTGATGAATATCGGCCTCCTCTGGGAAGAAGGGCTTGTTCTTCATCGTTTATCAGGAAACAGGGGGACAAAACCAGTGACACTCAAGAGCACCCTCAGCTGTGCTCTTAGGGGTTGCTACCAAAGCTGTTGGGGGCCTAAGTGTCTGGAATCCAGCCTGGGCCTCCAGCTGGAGAGAAGGGTTTGTGCCTGTGGAGCTCGTTTAGCTATCCATGTCTCTTACTTCAGTTGAGTGCGAATTAAATAAATATCCCAGTTAGTAGCCTTAAATGCCAGCACAGTTGATGGCAATCGCATCACAGACTCGGTTCATCATGTCAAATGCCAGGTCTCCTCCAATGTCCTGCTCGTCCTCCCCTTCCCTGGGAACACATCACGCTGCCTATGCATGAGCATTTCACAGCTACTGTCTTTTGGATGTGACAGGATATCCCTCACTCAAGTCATCCCTCACCTCTCCATTTCTGGGAGTTGGGATAGAAGGAAGAGACCAGCCTTCAGCCTGGCCGAGATAGGAACTTCCAGAGGGTCAAGACTGAGTCTTACAGAGAGGTCTCCGGAGCAGAGTGTCCCTCAGAGGCACTGAGCAAGCCCACACAGGTCCCATGGGGATGCCAGGACAGTGCAACTCTAGTTGTGTGGTTCATGACCCGGATCTCTGTTCTGCGATGTTTCCGATCTGCTGGCACAGCCTTGATGAACAAAGGTGCTGATTGTAATGTTCACTGATAAAGAATCCATTTGCTTTTTGGTTTCCTGATAGAGCTAAACCGAGGTTGAGAGCCCAGCGACTCCCAGAACCTGGGAACTGCAGTTAGATTGCTCTGCACAAAATGCTCTCAAGGTGGGTTCTGATGTGGATATTCTATTAGTGTGTAGAACCGAGGGGTGGTAGCATCTGAAGCAGGGGAGTTGGACAGCATGAAAACGGCCCAGTAGTGTCTGCTGACTCAGAAACATGCACAGAATCTACGGTACTCTCATTTATTTTTTTGATCTTTCTAGAATTGACATCCTGGAGATGGGGGTCAGGAGGTCACGGGCTGGTTTCACTTTGCACAGCAATTAGGTTGTGGAAGTAATGTGGAGTTACTGTGCCTGCTGCCCACAGTGACTCAGCAGTTAGGGGGTATGGTTCAGCCTGACCCAGACCCTATGTGTCTGCCTCTGCACAATGCTATATGTGGAGTAAAGGTGAGTGTGTGTGTGTGTGTGTGTGTGTGTGTGTGTGTGTGTGTGTATGTGTGTTGGGGAGTGGGGCTCAAAATCTGTTAGGACAGGTCTCATAAGCTTCTCAATAGTAAGTTAAGCTCCTTGTTCTCTTATTTTTTGCCTCCCTCACATTTTATTTTCCTCCTTCCCTCACTCCATTTCCTTCTCTTTCTCCCTCCTCCCCTCTTAGTCTGAATGTATGTTTATGGATAGTACTTGTGTTTTTGGGCTGAAGTGATAGCACAGCGATAGGGCGTTTGCCTTGCACGCAGCCAACATGGCCGACCCGAGTTCGATTCCTCCGCCCCTTTCGGAGAGCCCGGCAAGCTACCGAGAGTATTGGATATGCCAGACACAGTACCAACAAAGTCTCCAATGGAGACGTTACTGGGCCCGCTCGAGCAAATCGACGATCAATGGGAGGACAGTGGCAGTGACAGTGACTAGTGTTTATATATGGAAGGAAATAAATACTGTCATAAAATAAAAGTCTTGGTTTCTAGAAATCATACTTGTGTGTGAGGGGTGTGGTGGAGTGAAAATTCATTCCAATATACACCGACATTCTTCAGGATCCACATGCTTAGGATCTGAATCCAGTGACTACTGATTTTAATAATTAAGAAACTTTTTGTTTTGAGGCTCTTGCTGGCAGTTCTGAGGGACTATCCAAGCTCTGTGCTCTGGGATCATTTCCCCAGCATTACTCAGCAGGTTGCATGGGGCCGTGCTCACACGAGTCTCCAGCTTCTAGAGCCCATAACCTGGCTATTGAATTATCTTTCTGAGTCAATATAAGAATCATATATATATATATATTTGGTTTTTTGGGTCACACTCGGCGATTGCACAGGGGTTATTCCTGGTTCTGCACTCAGGAATTATCCCTCACAGTGCTCAGGGGACCATATGGGATGCTGGGAATCGAACCCGGGTCGGCCACGTGCAAGGCAAACGCCCTACCTGCTGTGCTATTGCTCCAGCCCCAAAAGCTAATATATTTTTCTTATGCAACTTTCCCTTTGCTTTGATACTGTCTATTGCATTAAAACATGATTTTTTGATGTAGCCTTATTTCCCCCCCCACCCTGCTATGCACATGGCTTGCCCCTGACTCTGCATCCAGACATCACTCCGGGCTAGCTCAGGGGAGCATATTGGGAGCGGAGGATCAAACCTTGGTCAAAAATGGGCACGGCAAGACTGGATCTTCTGTACCATCTCACCGACCACACGAATCTTATATTATTGCTCCTGGTACTATTTTCATCATTCTGGCTTCACCAAATCTCACACGTGTGAGTTATGAAAATCAGGTTATTTTGTGACATTTTAGAGACCAGGGCTGTGTAGAGTGAGCACACAGGACATAGACTCCATTCCCACTACAACTGTGGGACCAACATCTCCCGGGATCCAAACTGGTAGGCAACCAGAGAGGAGAATTTGAGTCTGTTCACGGCTATAGGCAGTAACCAGGTAATAGAGGGACCCTGATCCCACGGCATGTAGAGCTCCTGGTACTATCAGTTTAATTGACAACCTGAGGTCACTGTGTCCCTGAGGCCCCTTTGCTAGGAACCAACATGTATTCAGGCCCCAGATCTGCCTTTCCAGAGCACCCCTCACCCACCCGGCGGGCACAAGCTCCCTTATTCCCAGCACAGACCAGACCCTGAACCACAATCCATTCAAAGACTTTTATTGTCATTCACATAGTTCATAGTAAAAAGAGGGCAGCTGAGGAGGGGGGGGGGACACTCAGGAGTGTTCTATTTACATCAGGGGGCCCTTCCTGGCCCCCATCTCAGGCGCAGCAGCTGCA